TTGGCTTGGTTAAAATTCAACAGTAGGGATTTTGTCGACCCATGGACACTAAAACGCCTTTACTTTGCATTTATATTACGGATTATTGAGTATGGATCAGAAATATGGAATCTACACTACGACAATATGTGCAAAAGAATTGAGTCAATACAAAAACAATTCTTATTGTATGCTCTAAGGAGAATGGCCTGGAACGATTTTAGACTGCCAAAATACGAACACAGACTACTATTTCTGCAAATGATTACTCTTGAGGAGAGACGCAAGATGGCACAAGTGTCTTTCATCTCTAAAATTATTCACGGAGATATGAAGTCAACTCTTATATCAAACAGTTTGAGCTATTATGATTCAGCTCATAATACACGTACAACACCACTTTTTGATATACCACAAAACTAATTATTATCAATGATTATTATACTAAAGGGATACTAAACAGTGGTACTAATTTAATTGATTTAGAAGTTAATTTATCTACGGTTTAACTAAGAATAGAAAATTATTTAAAATTGTACATAAAACCTAAATGTTATTTTACACTCTCTGAATTGCTTGATGTTATACATATTTATTTAAATTATGAATAAACCACCAAGGCGAAGGAACGCTGTTCGGTGCAGTCATTATTATTATTAAAAGCCTTGGCTTTGTCCAAATAGATGGCGTCTGTTTGTTACCTCTTCCCATGTTAATAATTGTTTTTGATGTAAATTCCGCTAAATTAGTTATATTAGACCTGTTCTTTTTTTCCGATTTTCTAAGGTTTTTCGTGGAGGAAATTCTTTCGATTTGCTAGGGATTTTCGCCTAAAAACGAAAATTTGTCTGATTTGCTAGAGAATTTTTTGGTTTCGAATCCATAGAAGTTGAATTACACCCCTCACATGCATATTATGTCCTCTACTATCAATTTAGATTAAATAGACCATGATTTTTCATACCCGGAAGATCATGGTCAAAAAACACCATTGGTGCTTAAAATTGCTATGGTAGTCTAGTACCATCCATGAACTACTGATTATGCCTACAAACAAAACTTTTGTCATGTGTGAGTCACGTTCTGAAATACGTAAAATGAATTGAAATCAGTCATATTTCAATATTTTGATAGCTCTGGATCAAGCTTAAGATCACATCCACCTATATTTTTTTCACCGGAAATCGATTTCTCGGGCCCAAAAATAGTGGACAATTTTTTTGGGCCACCCTAATGTTTCATAACGGTGGCCCACACTGATTATAATGTGTGATTACTATTATTAGGCGCTGATGGTATTACCTAATTTTTGCATTAAATTTGGTTGTCCTGGAGTATTTCCAGCTTGCGGCATATTATTGAATGATTGATGCTGGTGTTGATTCTGTTGACTACCGAAACCAAATATACCACCACTAGAAGAATGAACACCTGTAAAAATAAAAATTATAATATATTAAACATATTTTCCTGAAATAAAAAAACTTAATAATTGTCTTAGCATAATTTTTGAAATTATTAATTTAGCATGATTTTAGATTTATAATAATACTAGCATACCCAAGCACTAAATTTGCTTTGTTTACTCGGGGCTTTCGCACCGTGCGTCAGTTACGAACACACGAAACAGAATACGGAGCGAGACATGAAGAAAGTAGTGTATGTGCGTATGCGCTTCATTCCTTGCGTCTTATTATTTATTCCCCTTTTGCAGCTGTTTGCATGGCAAAGGCTGCTAAAAAGGGGAATAACGAATAAGACGCAAGGCACCATTAGTCATAAAAAGATGACACCATTTATTTAGATCTAAGTATTCGCTTTGAAAAATTTCATTGATCTTCGACTTTTAGTATGAAAATCGGAAAATTGACATTTCTGTCCCAAGGAGTGAGTCACAAATTCAAATGATGACATTTTTGAGAGTCACAAATTGGTCACTAAAAGATGACACCATTTATTTGGATCGAAGTATTCGCTTTGAAAAATTTCATTGATCTTCGCCTTTTAGTATGAAAATCGGAAAATTGACATATCTGTCCCAAGGAGTGAGTCACAAATTCAAATGATGACATTTTTGACAGTCACAAATTGGTCACTAAAATATGACACCATTTATTTAGATCTAAGTATTCGCTTTGAAAAATTTCATTGATCTTCGACTTTTAGTATGAAAATCGGAAAATTGACATTTCTGTCCCAAGGAGTGAGTCACAAATTCAAATGATGACATTTTTGAGAGTCACAAATTGGTCACTAAAATATGACACCATTTATTTGGATCTAAGTATTCGCTTTGAAAAATTTCATTGATTTTCGACTTTTAGTGTGAAAATCGAAAATTTGACATTTCTATCCCAAGGAGTATGTCACAAATTCAAATGATGACATTTTTGAGAGTCACAAATTGGTCACTAAAATATGACACCATTTATTTAGATCTAAGTCATCGCTTTGGTAAATTTCATTCAACTTCGACTTTTAGTATGGAAATCGGAAAATTGACATTTCTGTCCCAAGGAGTGTGTTACAAATTCAAATGATGACATTTTTGAGAATCACAAATTGGTCACTAAATCTGTGTCGAAGAATTTTTATGATTACGGTTGTTTTTATGGAAAGCCTTTTCAAAATTTCGTTAATAATTCTTTTTTGGGCAATTTTCACTTTTTTGTTCAAAAAATTTCCGCCAGATGTCGTATCGAAATTTTCAGAACATTTTTGGAAATCACAAATTAATCACTAAAATACTGCATCATTAGTTTTTTGAAGTTTTGTTTTATTTCGAATTTTTCAAAATTTCATTTATAGACTTTTTGATGAATAGGCTTTTTCAAATTTAGGCCTGTAACTTTTTTTCTGGAGCGTCATTTTAAAAATTGCCTCACAAATTTTCACTAATTGGATTATTGGATTATATAAACACCGTCATACAAATTACAGCAAAAAATGTATGTAAAAACAACCTTTGGTGTGCGACCGTATCATACGCTGTATTTATTCTAGAGAATTCAATTAATCACTAAAATTATGTGAAGTTTGAGCCCAACCGGGTACTTTGACCCCCTGGGTAGTGTGCGCCTATATTATATTATATTTATTTCATTAAATTATTTTCAATAAACCACCAAGGCGAAGGAACGCTGTTCGGTGCAGTTATTATTATTATTAAACCACCAATGCGAAGGAACGCTGTTCGGTGCAGTTATTATTATTATTAAACCACCAACGCGAAGGAACGCTGTCCGGTGCAGTTATTATTATGTTTGTTGTTCAAATGGCGAACGTCTGAATTTAGTCTGAAGACTTAGTGGATATATGTTATGCATCAGAACGCACAGTTGTGTGTGACTGTACTATTTTTGTTGTTTTCTTCTTTTTCGTTTCAATGCTACAGAAATAAATATAGTTTTTGAGGACTCACACAAAAATTTCTCAAATTTTAAATACGTATCATCTGCTTGATATAAAAAGATAATCAATTCAGTGAGTGCGCAATATTGTAACACGAGTGGCCACACGAGTACGGAAATTATCCTAAATTTTTTAGAACATCTATAATAAAAGTTTTCAAAATGTCTACTCACTATTAAATTGTTGCTGTTGCTGTTTTGGTTGCTGTGGTTGTTGCTGCTGCTGCTGTTGTTGTTGATGGTGTTGTTGTTGTTGTTGTTGTTGTTGTTGTTGTGAGACACCCTGTGGGATAACTTGTGGACCCTTCGGATAATTTTGACGATTGCCAAAGAGACCACCAGTTGCTGCATTCGAGGCACCAGATAGAAGATTAGATGCTGTGGAAAAAATACCAGAAGATTGCTGCTGTTGTTCACTCGATTGTGTCGAGTAAGGTTGTTGTGGTTTATGTTGCATATTATTTTGTTGCTGATTCGTCATATTACCACCGACCATCCCGCTTCGATTCATCTGTATATTTTGAATTAATTTTAAGTTTGACGGTATTCAATTACATAGCGGTTAGAAAAGAAGTAAAAGACAAAAACAAATGCATATTGCACAACGTCGTTTGCTCATGTTTTAACTTAAAAGTTAAAATATTAATTCATAAAATCAGAGAATTTACAGAAAAAAATGTAGAATATTTTCAATTTTATGAAATGTTTTTTATTGTTTTTGAGCATTGCAAGTAAAAAGTTCTACACTCTCAAGCAGCCAGAAGTCTTAATAAATTGTAATATTTTATGTATTTGTAGAAACCAATGACTTTTTTAAAATATTTTCAATTTTATGAAATGTTTTTTATTGTTTTTGAGCATTGCAAGTAAAAAGTTCTACACTCTCAAGCAGCCAGAAGTATTAATAAATTGTAATATTTTATGTATATAATGTCGACCATCGCCGGAAATATCAAATTATATAATTTCTAAAATTAAGTTATTTATACAATTGAACGCTCTAGAATAAAAACAACGTACAGAATGGTTGTTATATCAAAGCGGAACACGGCGTTTTTTTTATATAGAATTGTTGTTGTATTACAACAAAAAATCTATGTTAAAAAAACGCTGTATTCCGCTTTGATATAACAACCATTCTGTACGTTGTTTTTATTCTAGAGCGTTCAATTTATGAATTTGAAGCGACACTTTTCAGTAAAAATACACCAGCAAAATTGTTTACATGAAGGATATTGTTTACCAACAACTTCACGATAATCATTTTTTCAAACGAAAATTCAAATACATGAATTACATTATTTGAGATTTGTTTTAAAATATATAAAAAAATTCAAACAAAAAGATACGTTAATAATAATTTTGAGTGTTTTTTAGTCGGAGATCATACTTGCTGAACTACATCTTAATAAGATGATCTTATAAAAACAAGTATATGAAGGTATATAAATACAAGTATATAAGTGTATATAGTAATAATCGATTATACGCCACATAAATGTTCAAAATGATTGTTTTTGGAAGATTTTGATAGTAACATTTGAATGATCCTAATAGCATCAAAAATCAAAAAAAAAAACTTCACGTTTATTAAAACGGAAACAAAAACCATCCTGTATAGTGTTTTTTCCTTCTTTGCAAAAAAAATAAGTTTAATTGGTTCGTTGTAGAATACGTGGTCGATGAAGATTGACATAAAAAATATTAAAGAAGAAAACGAAAGTTATGTATCAATTTTCACAAAACTGGTTGTTGGAAATTTTCTTTTGTTCTGTTAAAACCAATTATTATTCAAGCTGGTTTCTTTCAACTGAGCTGGTCAATTCATGTTTTCAGGCATTTTTCGAACATTGAGAACAATATTATTATTATCTAGACTCCTGAAAATTCATTCGATCTAGTTTCGTCAAGTCTTGCTTTCATCTAGAATCTACATATAAAGTTAATATACTGTGAAAACGCATATCGTGTCACCATCATCGTTTACCTTCTTGAACTTGACAAAGAATGATCATGTCTTCCCCCCTGGCAATTTTATTTTACAAATAATTGTATGGGTTGGTGATTATTACAAAAATTTCATTTCCAATTTTGTTATGTATGTTTGCAATGGCATTGGACACTCAGGAAAATCAATCAATAGTTAGTCTAACACAATTGAATGTGTCAGAATAAAATCCGACTTTTACGCAGAGTCTATAAAAGTGGAACACAGATTTTTTTTTACATAGAATTGTTGTTGTATTACAACAAATAAACTATGTAAAAAAAATCTGTTTTCCACTTTTATAGACTCTGAAAATAGTAAACGTAGAGGTGGTTGAAGAAAGATGCTTTTATTGTGACATGTATACTAGGGTGGTTCGATTTTTGTGAAAATTCAGAAAGGATACTGGCTATAGTTATAAGTTATGGAAAAATATGTAAGATTTACGAATATTACGTTTTTTTGACATAATTGATGTCACAGACCTAGCGCCTCCAGGGGTCCATTTTTTGAAATTTGACCAAAAATTTCAATTTTTCAAAAAATTTCAACACATTTTAAAAACATTTTTTCTGGTTCGTAACGCTGCTTATTAAGTGAAATAGAGCGCCAAAGGCCATTAAAGAGCTCCCGGACTTACCTCTACCTGAAAATAGGTCCGAAAATGACTGATCATTTTTCAAAAAAATGACCCAACAAAACAAAATTTTAACTCATTATTGAGGTGGTTTGATTTTTCTGAAATTGTCCGACTCACTCTGTAACCTTTTGAGAATGTCGAATAGAGATTATCTGTGTGTTATGTTTGATCAATACTTTCGACTCTACATGCCCTCCTACTCAAGACTTTTACAACAAATGTCGAAAATAACCAATCTTATGAAATTTGCCTGTGCACCAAAAAGTAATTTTGTCTACAATATTCCATGTTTTCGTCCTGAAATATTCTGATTAGGACATGACAGATGTATTCTAGAAGGAAAAGACGATGTACACTCAAAGAAAAGTTCCTATATCTTAAAAAACAAATCTGTTGAAAAAAACTGAAAAATGCAGACTTTCAAATGGTTCAATATGAACAACATTCTTTGAGTGGGCATCGCTTTTCCCTTCTAAAATGCATATGCCCTGATCAGAATATTTCAGCACGAAAACATGCAATATTGCAGATGAAATGACTCATCTATATTTGACATCCTCAAGAGGTTACAGGGTGAGTTGGACAATTTCAGAAAAATCAGACCACCTCAATAATGAGTTGAAATTTTGTTTTGTTGGGTCATTTTTTTGAAAAATGTTCAGTCATTTTCGGACCTATTTTCAGATAGAGGTAAGTCCGGGAGCTCTTTAATGGCCTTTGGCGATCTATTTCACTTAATTAGAGCGTTACGAACCAGAAAAAATGTTTTTAAAATGTGTTGAAATTTTTTGAAAAATTGAAATTTTTGGTCAAATTTTAAAAAATGGACCTCTGGAGGCGCTAGGTCTGTGACATCAATATGTCAAAAAAACGTCATATTCGTAAATCTTACATATTTTTCCATAACTTATAACTATAGCCAGTATCTCTTCTGAATTTTCACAAAAATCGAACCACCCTAATGTATACGTATAGTCTATATCGGAATTATCATTCAATATAACAACATTGCACATCGCAACAATCAGAATTAATGCAAATCAAGTTTTTATTGATTAACCAAATGCTAATAATCATAAACATATTAAGATGAGAATACAATTTTTTTAACCAAAAAATATGTACTTCCATGAACAAAAATATAAAATACTAAAAATTTAAGTATTTATGCACTTGTAAAAAAATGTTTTTTTGTTTCTGTTTATAAAATAGCATGTATGATGGAATTTTGCTAAAAACCTTGCTTGACCAGTTAGTTCATATACGTGCATTAATCAAGCTCAAAAGAGTCGGTGAAATAGATCGGTGTGTAATTAACTAAGTAAAAATGGGCTAAATGTTCTGTCAGGATAAATTCTGAAATTATTTCAAAAGATATGTAAATGATGACTGCTAGCTAGTATTAGATGTGAACATCTTGGACCTAGAGCATTATCAATTTCATTTCCAAGTATTTCATTTTGTTCTATTTTATGAAGGCAATGAAAAAGAAAACCTTTGAATTACAAATGAGTGAATACACCTCTCATTTTAATACAAGTGTCTTATGAGTACTTTTCAAAATTATGAAGGTGCATAGCAGAATTTACTAGTATTCTTTTTATTTCAGTTACCTGCGTTTGATGTTCGTGGGCAGGATGGCTCGTGTTGTTTAACAGTGTAGGGGAAGTTGGACGAGCATCTAGCAACAAACAACATGAAGACTTGACATTTACCACAACATAGCAAACAGCACAATAATCACATGTGCGTAAATAAACTTATTAATTTATTAATATTTCTCGAATTTCCGCTGCCATTAGGCCATTTAAACTTATTCATTGTGATTCCCCATATAATTTTACATATACCTACATTGATGTTTCGAATTTATTAAAGAAATGGATTTTTTGAAGGTATTTCATACAAAATAAAATAATATCAATGGCTTGAACCATGCTAAAGATAAATTTAATATTGTTTTATTCAAGCTTAATTTGAATATTATATAACACTCTATCTCAAAAAGTTGAGGGTGTGATTATAATTTCTGCATAATGGATATGTCCGGTGAATTTTATGCTATTTTCAATATTTCAAACCACGTCTCATCTCACTTCTTTCTTCCAATAACAAGAATTTTTGAAAGCAAGAGGATGTGAGATGGCTGGTTTTGCTCTATCGAATATCAGTCTATCTAACATACATCTCTGTCGTACTGGATATTTATATGAAGTAACGAACTGTCAGAAAAAAGCTGTATGAAAAGAAATGAAATTTCCACGGGAGATTGTGAAAAAAAACACAAAAATTCCTATAAATCCAAAAAAATTCTTTGACCCGAAAAACCCTAGCAAATCGAAAAAGTTGTACTCATTCAGCATATCCATTGCAACATATTGAAGAGCTAAACAAAATCTTCACTATATGATAAATCATAAGAAAAAATCTCTAGCGAATCGAAAGAATTTTCCAAACTACAGTGGGGTTACACACACTTTTAGAGCAACAACTTGAAAATGCACTTATGTTTCTCTTTATAAATGAGAAATATATAATATGATGTCGGTGGCTGGGTATAAAAGGATTCATATCCGCATTTTTCCTATAAATTTTGTTGCACTTCTAATACGTTTTTCGCGAACTGATCGCAGTATGTAAAGAAAAAAGAAATAGGGGATGGGTCGTATATCGTCCTTGCCTAATACATATCTTACAATTTTTCAAAGGATATTTTTTAATGGTAATAATGTCCGCAATATTTTTATATAAATAATAATGAAAAATATAATAATGAAAAAAAGATACACTTTCATATGGATGGGCTACCACCATATTTAGATAGCGTCTGGGGCCCTTATGAAGAATCCAGCGAAAAAATTTGACCATTAGGTGGCATTTCAAAATAAGGTAAATTTTTGGTTTTGTTCATTTTTGACCACCCAAACTAGAAACAAATTTCCGACAAATGGCATATTCGGAAACTGGAGTTCGGGTAGATAGTGTTGAATTTTTTTTGTTGGAATCGATCGGAAACTGTCCGAGATTTGATCCTGTCAAAAAATCTTGTTTGTCCGTAATTTTTTTTCGAAGTTTTTGATAAATCGCCAGAGACTGATTTTGTT